AAATAAATAAATAAATAAATAAATAAATAAATAAATAAATAAATAAATAAATAAAAAGAAATTATTTTTCATTAAACTTTTTAATGCAAGGAAGAAAACACTAACTATGCTTTACTGAAATTTACTTGCAGTCTGTAAATTGAGTGAGGTAAACATCCTCTAAAATGTACAAATAAAAACCATGTTCTGGGGAACTGGAAAAATTATCTGTAGCAACTGGGGACCTTAAAGATGACTTGGGCTTTTTTTCGCCGCCGGACGCCACCGAGGTCGCACGCGTGAGGCCTGTCCTCCGCTGCCGACATGCATTACGTCGCCTCCTACTTGCTGGCCGCCCTCGGCTGCAACTCCTCTCCTAGCGCCAAAGACATCAAGAAGATCCTAGACAGCGTGGGCATCGAGGAGGACGATGACCTGCTCAACAAGGTCATCAGTGAGCTGAATGGAAAAAACATTGAGGATGTGATTGCTCAGGGTGTTGGCAAGCTTGCCAGTGTGCCTGCTGGTGGGGCTGTGGCTGTTTCTGCTGCCCCTGCAGCAGCAGAGGAGAAGAAAGACGAGAAGAAGGAGGAGTCTGAGGAGTCAGATGATGACATGGGATTTGGCTTGTTTGATTAGATTCCTGCTCCCCTGAAAATAAAACCTTTCTACATATCTTGAAAAAAAAAAAGATGACTTGGGTGTAGTTCTCATCATCAGTATGGCAACATCTGTAACTCCAGCTACAGTGTATCTGACGCCTTCTTCTGGCCCCTGCATACCCTGCACATACATTACACATAAGTACAGTACATACACATAAAATATTAATAGAAATGTCTTTAAAATAGCAATGTTATGCCCACAGGTGGTGATTAGGAAAATATAACATCACCTCATGATAGACATGTTCCATTTGAGAAGCAACACCCCAATCAAATTAAACCCAACCTAGGGTCACAAACAAGGTCATCTGCATAACTATCTGGTGAGGACCAGTAAAAGGTTCTGAGAGTTATAAAACTTTTCCACAGTAAAAGATGAGTTTTAGGTCAAATATGAGTATGAAGATTGGTAGAAATTTTGCCTTACAATCATGGATTTGAATCCTTAGCATCAACTATAAAAGCTAGATGCAGGGATGACCCCTGTATTCTCAGATTTAATGGGACAGATTCGAATAATCATTTGAGCTCATTGGCCATCCAACCTTGCCACTGAGTGAGCTCTATGCTCAATGAGAAACCTTGTATCCAAAAGCAAGGTAGAGAGCAGTCCCGGAAGGTAGCTCTGCCCTCACAACCCTCTGTGCACATAGACAGGCACATAATGCCCATATAAACACCTGCACACATTCACAAGAATGTTTACATAAATCATATGCACACAGGCACACACACACACACACACACACACACACACACACACACACACACACTCGAGCTTAATACAATGATCCTGAACACTTCTCTAGTCCAAAAAGACATCACTGGGACTTTGTTGAGTCGTTGCATTGTGGTTGGGGTCTAAAGATGGTAGTGGTGATACTTCATTAACGTGTTTGATATTTTTTGTTGTGCAATGAATTCCCAGGACACTTTTGTAACATTAATTTCAAGGGTTTTGGAGCCTTGGATAAAACGTTTCAAATGGCTTAGGACAAACCAAAGTTCCTCATCATCTACTTGGATTTTTTTTTTTCGTACATGGGGGATTGTTTAAAATAATAGGATTAATGGTATTAGCTATCTACTATAGGTTTTAACCATCTTCTATTATTTTAATTTCTGTGCCAATGGCCTCTTAAATGTTATTTTTAAAGTATTTATTTTTGCAGGAAAATTCTTTACATACAAAAAACAGACCTGTGAAGAAAAACTGAAATATCTGAAATGTAAACCAGCTAATCAGTATAAAAATGAAATAGTTTATCATTAATGAAAATGCATTCCTATAAAATTACAAGACAAATATCATATTTGGAAATTTCTGCTCTTTTACTTTTAAAAGAAAAGTGGGAAAAGTGTCTTTTGATTTGTTTTGATTACTTGTAACATATTCTTAAGTGAAAGAAAGTAATACCCATTCCAGAGACACACAGCTTAATTTCTTCTGGAAAAATCGTCTGCCCGTTCTCTCGATATGCACAAAATGCTGCTGCTACAACAGAGGATCAGGTCTGGGGTAGAATACTTTGTGACATGTGTGCTCATTTATAAAAAGAAATAACTGTTATGTAAAGAAAAAATTTATATAAGAGACCTTAGAAATCTGACTTAAATATTTCAGATTTTGTTACAAATGAATATATGCATTAGATACTTTTTGATATTTATATCCAAAGAACGAAGGATGTGTTAGTCAGCCTGCTTTGTTGTATGAGGTCCAATTCTGAAGTAGGAATGTGGAAAGAAAATGCCAATTGGAATTGGAAGGAAGGGATGACTTTGGTATGGGATCCGTCTGCTTACATTGTTTCTCTGTGAGTCAGCACCAACATATGGGCTTTGAGACTTAAGTACCCAGGGAGCACTGGGAGGAAAAGGCCCACAGTTCAATGGCACCTGCAGTACAGCATTGGCTATGGCACTGTTTTCCTAGGGAACATGACAGATGAGGTTATTGAAATAAAAACACTTTATGTATAATAAAGTGTGTGTGTTGGTGAATGCATGTGTAGGTGTGTACACATATACATGAGTGATGGGTGGGAATGTGGAAGTCAAAAGTCAGCTTTACATTAGATGTCATTGCTCAGGAGTTTTTCTTTTTTAATTTTGTTTTTTACAATTCATTCATTATATATCCCTATTGAAGACCACTTCCTCAATTCCACCCAGTCCTACCTATTCTCCGTCTTCCCCCATCCTCTTCCCCTAGTCCACTGAAAGGGGGAGTTCTCCTCCTCTGCCATCTGCCCATAGCTTATCAAGTCTCATCAGGACCGCCTGGATCCTCTTCCTCTGTGGCCTGGGAATGTCACATCACAGGGGGAGGTGATCAAAGAGCAGGCAATTGAGTTCATTTTGTATCCTCGCTGCAGCCTCCTGTCTCATCTTCTTCCAGTCCCACCCACCTTCCCTCCTCTCCCACTATGCCCTTTCCTTAGTCCTCTGATAGGGGAGGACCTCTTCCCTTTCTATCTGACCCTAGCTTATCAGGTCTCATCAAGGCTAGTTGTATCATCTTCTTCTGTGGCCTGGAAAGGCTGCACTCCCCAGGGGAAAGTGATCAAAGAGCCGGCCACTGAGTTCACATCACAGACAGTCCTTGTATTCCTTACTAGGTAACGCACTTGGAAACTGAGCATCCAATGGGCTTCCTTTGAACAGGACATCTAGGTCTTCTCTGTGCATGGTCCTTGGTTGGAGTATCAGTCTCTGCAGCCCCCTGCCCCCAGGTATTTTGGTTCTGTTCTAAAGTTTTATTTAATGTACATGTGTATTTTGCCTTCATCATAAGTGTTCAGGAGTCAATGAATGTCAAATGAGGAGTCAGGTTCCATGGACTTGAATTTACAGGCATATCTGAGCTGGGGATCAAACCAGGTCCTCAACAGAACAGCAAATTAATAAAGACTTAACTGCTAAGTTAGCTCTGATGCTCTCAAGGTGTTGCAATGAGTAAATCATGTGAAATAAGCTTTGAGAAATAATATGGTAATGTAAGTTTTCAGGTCAAATTTACTTTGGGTGAACAAAAGCACTCTTTGCATTATTGCACAGAGCTTGGCAACGCAGACACTAGCTTTGTCCAGCAAGGCACAGCCTCTTCTTGCTTAACTACGCCTTCTGTTTATTCTAGGAGAATTTACTACACAAATATAGGACTAGTCTGGGCTGCAGCTGAGGGAGGGTGTAGTTATGAGAATTCACAGACTGTGATGAAAAGGTCAGCTGCCTTCATCGTATTCTTTAAAACAAATCTGTAGAATGGGTTTACTATCATATTCTGAAATTTACTTTATTTGTAAATATTCTGAGAAAATCCCTGTTCAGCAGAGAATTGAAGACTATGGGCCAGAGCCCTCTACTGATACCTCCTGAAATATCTTTCTTGTCTTGTCCTTCATTTCCAGTCTCAGATAATGTCTGCATGTTATTGAATCTCTTATGCAGGTTCAGTGTCCATCTGCATGCTGATATAAACAGAAAATCAGATTGCTGACTGGATGAGTCACAAGGGAAAGGAGGCTGCCTAGGAGCAGTATAGTCCCAGTACCACTTCTGCTTCCCAGGACCATCTGCAGGTCTTCCATTCTTGCTGTTCTATGTCCCTGGGTAATTTCAAAGCATAAGACATATAGCAGCTTATTTAGGGGACATTGTACTATTTTAAATTGGAAAATATGTTCAAAAGGTACTGGCCTTGTGGTGCATTTCAGTTCACAGAGTGCTTACATACCATGCACAGTGCACTGGGTTTGGTTCCCCAGAAAAATATAAACTGTGGCAGCACATGGCTCTAATGTCAGCACTTGGGAAGCAGCGGTAGAAAATTTAGAACTTCCAAGTCACCCTTGGATAATTGTAGCAAGTGAAGGCAAGCCTAGGTGACATGAGATCCTGTCAAAATAAAGTTTGCTTCTACATCATCTTCACAAGGATACAGTTGTGTGTGTGTGTGTGCATGTGTATGTGTGTGCATGTGTGTATATGGGTTTGTGTGTGTGTGTGTCTGTGTGTGTCTTTGTATGTGAGTGCATGCGTATGTTTGTATGTCTTTGTGTGTGGATACGTATGTTACGGCATATACGCATATGCACATGAACATGTATGTGTATGGCTGTTTGTGTGTATGATTGTGTGTGTGTGTGTGTGTTTGCACAGGTATGTATGCATGCTCATGTGCTGGCACTTGTTTCCTGCTAGCCATAAATTATGGATATACTCTGATTGCAGAACTCTGATTTCATGTTCGTCTTTTTTTCTTCTGGGCTTCATTATCCTCTACTCTTCACTTCTCAGTTATTCTAGAAAGTTGATCATTCTATTCCTCATTGTCATCTCTCCGAGGAGCAGACAGATGGCAGGTGTTTCAGGATTATAAGCCACTGTGTGCTGTTCCCATGGCTGTAAAGTTGAAAAAGTGATTTCAGCTCCCATTTATTCTCAGCTTGTTTGTTTCATCGGTTTAAATGTCTGCAGAGTAGAATCAATGAGGGAAGAATAAACAACACTTCTAGCTCCTTTTCTGATATCATTCCATCATTTCCAGCTTAAAGTACTCCATCCTTTTTCTTTATTTATTTTCCTCTCCAATGAAATCTTGACAGCTCAAGCAATGTGTTATAAAACCTTGGGAAAATTAAAACTTGCCATTCTCACTCCTTCTTGCTTAATCATGAAAAGTCATCATTAATATTTCTTGTCATTTTACTATTTCTTACTTTTATATACACTCCCGTGGTGTTTCTTCGAATTTACACTACTTGTTTGTTAATTTTGGATTGTATTATATATTTTTATATTTATTGTGTATTATATCATATTATGTATTTTTTAATTTATTCACTTTACATGCCAGTTGTACCTCCCTCACTAGGCTCCTCCCAGAACTGTCCTCCCTGTCTTCCACTCTATGCTGCTTCATTAGTCCTCAGAAAGGGGGAGCTCTCCTCCCTTACCAACTGATCCAGACTTAGCAGGTCTCACCAGGACTGCCTGCATCTTGTTCTTCTGTGGC